TATTTTCTCACAGTTCTGGAAGGCGAAGATCAAGGTACCAGTGGGTGTGGTTTCTTTTGAGGCCTCTCTCCTTGACTTGCAGATGGCTCTCTCCTCACATGGCATTTCCTCTGTGCACATGCATCCTGTGTGTCTCTTCCTTGTCTTATAAGAACACTGGTATTACTTGGTTATATTCAGATTATTGAAGGTCTACCCTATTGGCCTCATTTTAACTTAATCACCTCTGTAAAGATCCCATCACCAAATAGTCACATTCTGAGGTACTGGAGGTAAGGGCTTCAGCATGGGATTTCTGTGTAGCCCAGCACGTGGTAGTACACACCATGACTTCACTAATGGATAAATGGATTTAATCTCTCTCCTCATTCCTTTCATTTCCCCTCCACATACACACACTTTTTTATTGTTGTTAGTTATAGTTTGGTATTTCACACTGTGTCTTGGTTTTAACAAGACAATTTGACAGTTTTCTATAACTCATTGGGTTGCAGGGCAGCAGCTAAACTGTTGTTTTGCTTCACAGCAGATTGAGAATTCACCCCAACAAACAATAATTTTGTGAGTTTAGAAGCTGTTATGTAGCAGCGTAGTGTAGTACTCTGTTTGTGACTACAGAGTCTGGCTGACCAGTTAGGACTGCTGTTCACATCCTAGTCCATGAGAGCTGTGCAGTGATACTTACTGGGGCTTTGGCAATTTATGTTATAACTTGCAACTAGCAACTTAGGCCTTCTAGTGCTTAGAATTTTATTTTATTTTTTTTGATTAATCCTCACCCGAGGATTTTTTTTCCGTTGTTTTTGTTTTGGTGTTTTTTAGAGGGTGGAAGGGGAGGGGGAGAGAGACACATCGATTGGTTGTCTCCCGCATGTGCCCAGACCAGGGCCGGTATTGAGCCTGCAACCAAGGTATGTGCCCTTGACCGGGAATTGAACTGGAGACCCTCAGTCCACGGACCGACACTCTAACCACTGAGCCAAACCGGCTAGGGCTGATTATAATCATTACATTATTTTATGTTATACATTCCATACTGTTTATTTCCTACACTGAGGAAAATCAATTTAGTGTTTGAATAACACTTCTGAATACACAGATCTATATATAGAAATGCTTTTCTCATATGTGTCAGTGCTCTTAGATTAAAATGAGGAATATAACACAGAAGAGGAAATGAAATAATGTGTAAAAGGCCTAGTCCCATACATGGGACTCTGTAAATGTGAATATTCTTTTACCTCATTTTCCTTAACATGCAAATTGATGAGAAGCAGTGTGTACACAGGTAGGAGCAAAGGTAACTTGATACACTTAAGATATTTTGAATTAAAAGGAATATTAGCTCCTCCAACACTGTGCCTAATACAGAAACCTGTAGGACACTTACATTTTACATCCTTTGCCTACCTGAACATTTAGACTCAGGGTGTGTACTCTCAGAATTTTATGTATTTTTTCTTATCTGAGTTTGAATTAAATGTTGTCTTGCTCCCCAACAACCTGGAACGTCGTAAGGTCTAGCCCTGGTCTATTTTATTTAGCCATGTCTCCAGCATCTGTCAGAACACTTGGCATATTGGAAGTGCTCAAAGTATTGACCAAGTGAATAAAATAAATCTGTCAGAAAAATAGTGCTTTAATGCATCCCCCTGTCCCCATAGTCTTTGTTAATTACATGACCATTGTGGTGTTTACTTTTCACTGGTCACTACCTCACTCCACAAATGAATCCCATCAGCATTTATTTGGATTGGTTTATTACCCTAAAGTGAAATAAGTGCAGTAGCCCCCCATTATCCATGATTTCACTTTCCATGCTTTCAGTTACTTGTGGTCAACCATGGTCTAACAATATTAAATGGAAAATTCCAGAAATAAACAATTTACAAGTTTTAAATTGCATGCCATTTTGCCCTGTCCTGCCTGGGACCTGGATCATCCCCCTTCATCTAGCATCTCCATGCTGTGTATACTATCTGCCCATCAGTCACTGCGTAGCCATGGTGGTTATCAGATCCACTGTTATGGTACTGCATTGCTTATGTTCAAGTAACCTTTATTTTGTTTAATAATGACCCCAAAGTGCAAGAGTATTCAAGCTGGCAATTTGGATATGCCAAAGAGAAGCCGTAAGTAAGTGCTTTCTTTAAGTGAAAAAGTGAAAGTTTTCAGTGTAATAAAGAAAAAAAATCATATGCTGAGGTTGCTAAGATCTGTTGTAAGAATGTGTTTTCCATATAAGAAATTGTGAAGGAAAAATAATTTTGTACTAGTTTTGCTGTTACACCTCAAACTGCAAAAGTTACAGCCACAGTGAGTGTCAGTGCTTAGTTGAGATGGAAAAGGCACTAAAATTGTGAGTGGAAGACAAGAACAGAAAATGTGTTTTGATTGAAAGCAACATGTTGTGCTAGAAAGCACTGAGTCCATACAAAGATTTCAGCAAGGGTTCCCCTGAAACAAGTGATCACATTTACATAATGTTTAATACAGCATATTATAATTGTTTGATTTTATTATTATTGTTAATCCCTTACTGTGCCTAATTTATAAATTAAACTATCATAGATATGTATGCATAGGAAAAATATAATACAGTACATACAGGGTTTGGTACTATCTATGGTTTCAGGCACTGAGGTTCTTGGAATGTGTCCCTTGGATGGGGTGGGTACTGTATGTTGAACATTCAGGTGATTAATTGTACTCTTTGAGTTAATTTTGGGGGGATGGTGCCTTTTTTATATCAAGATAGTTGTTACTCTTCCACTGTGGTTTCTCATTTAAGGAAGTGGCAGTACGACCCATCTAGATGTCCTAAAAGAAACCTTTGAATCTCCCTTTTCCTTACCCCTGTGTCCAATCAATCACCCTTGAGTCTACTTCTTAAGTGTCTTTGGAATCCCAGTACTCCTCTCCAGCTCCAGTGGCATAGTCCGGGTTTCTTAGTCTTCTGCTACATTTCTGCAGCACCCTCGTAACTCTTTGCTCCCCCTTTCCAGTCCAGTTTCCTTCCAGTCTATTCTTCATATCAGAGTCAGGATAATTTTTAAAAAATATATATCTTTATTGATTTCAGAGAGAGAAAAGGAGAGAGAGAGAGATTGAAACATCAATGATGAGAGCGTCATTGATTCACAGCCTCCTGCATGCCCCCAACTGGGGATCTAGCCCGCAGCCCGGGCATGTGCCCTGCTTGGGAATCGAACCCTGATCCCCTGGATCCTAGGTCATTGCTCAACCGCTGAGCCATGCCCAGCCGGGCAAGGATAATCTTAAAAAATGCAAATCATCCCTGGTGAGGTTGCTTGGTTGGAGCTTCGTCCCATGCACCAGAAAGGTTGAGTGATCAATTCTCGGTCAGGACACATACACAGGTTGTGAGTTTGAACCTTGGTTGGGGCATGTACAGGAGGCAGTTGATCCATGTTTCTCTCCATTCCTTTCTCTCTAATGATCAGTGAAAGCATATCCTCAAGTGAGGATTTAAAAAAACAAACAATAAGTCAGGTCATTCACCTACCCTCTTAAAACCTTGTCAGTGCATTAATTTTCTCTAGGTGATGCTTTCAAGGCCCCTCAGAATATGGGCTTTGTCTTTGTTTCAAGCCTTACTTCATGTTTTCTTACTGTCTCCTCACCCAGCCCTTTCGTTGATTGTTAGTGCTCACTGGATTGCTGCCATTCCCTGCCTTCCTCCCCCAAACTTTCCTGTCTGTCCTTCAGGTCTAAATCCCAGTGGCACTTTGCCTAGGCTGTATTCCCAGAATATTAAATTTGGTTAGGGTTTCCTCTGTCTATGCCAGTTGGAAAATTGTTACTACCTTCTTGTCTTCCTCCCTTTCTGAGATACAAGCTGGATAGATGAGCTCTTAGTCACCACTCTTTCCACAGTGTAGGGCAGCAGCAGTCCCTGTCGCATGGGAGCTTACTCAGGTGCTTGTTAGCTGTGATTTTAAAGTATACTATGAACTCTGCATCATAAAGGATCCATAATGTGGCAGAACAGTCAGCATGGGCCCAGAATGCTAGACCCCTTTATACTAGATGTTAGTTTATCCTTTATAAACTAGGGACCAAGAAACTATAGCCTGTGGGCCAGATCAGCCTGTTAGCCTTCTATAAGGACCACATTGAAGAAAGGTGTTTTTTTACTTTTAAATGCTTGGAAAGAAATCAAAAGAAAAATATTTTATGACACAACAGATTATATAACATATCACACTCATTTATTTACATATTGTTTGCTGCTGCTTTTGTGCTACAGCCACAGGGTTGAGTAGCAGTGAAGAGACTGTATGGCTGGCAAAGCCTAACGTATTCATTGTCTGGCTCTGGACAGGAAAAGGTGCTAATGACTGCTTTAACTCACTCTGTGACATGAGAATGGATAAGTATAGTTCCCCATATTAAGTTATGTCTCAGTTTCCTTTTTCCCTTCCTCCAAGTTCAAGGTTTGAGGATGTCCATCAAGATAAAAGAGTATCTTTTGAGTTTTCAGAATTGTATTCTAACCTCTCTGCCTTATATACCTAGAGCTTTTGGGAACTTGAACATTGCAGATTAGATGTTGACAAAATAGAGACTTCAACTCCTACGATATTATATAGCCAGTGGTCTAAAGTCAGTCTTTCCTAAATAAATAATATTCTGATTCTTAAAATTTACTATTTTTACAGTTAAGGAGAAACAAAGGAACAACTTTTTATGCCGTTTGCTATAGTCATTAAAGTGTGATGCTAAAGTCCTTTTATAAATTTTGAATTATTTTTGTCAGTATGTTCTATTGCAGAAAAATAGACCCAGCCATGTTTTGGTTGTGTAATCTGTTACTAACTATTGGAAGTAACTTTATTTGTTAGGGTTCATTATTAGGCAATATAGAACCTTCTTTTTTCATCATTTAATAAAATCAAATGGTTTTTACATCATTGTTTACATTTTGTTTAAAAATATTTTATTGAGAAAATACTTAATTAACTTTGTTTTATTTTTAGGGTTATATCCTGTGTTGTGACCTCATGGTTTAAGTGGGAATAAAGATGAGTATAAGCAGTGATGAGGTCAACTTCTTGGTATATAGATACTTGCAAGAGTCAGGTGAGTACTTTCATAAAATAAATAGGCCTCAAATTATTTTAATATTCTCAAAATATCCTTTTATGCATTTGAAATTTGTATCAGTCCAAACTGTTGAACTTTGTATGTTTCCTTAAATGTCTGGACTGCCATTTTAAAGCTATGTGTTACTGCATGGTTTAACTCTCTGACTCTTTCAAATATGTTGGAATCATCTCAGGCAAATATTTGTAACAAATGGTTTGGCTTTCACTGTTCAAAGACCATTTTTTATAATTTGTTCTGAAATGAGATTATTGTACACAGGAACATATAAACTTGCAGATATCATTAATTTAATAATGTATATTCAGAATCCATAGCTAAATGTTTCTGTTCCTCATTGTAGTTAGCATTTCAAAAGCTAAAGTAGCCATATTTTTTTCAGAATGCTTTCATAAGTATTATCCCAATTGATTAAATGTATTCTTAACCTGAATTCTTACTGAATGTATTTATTGAGGGATAACTGATAAATGAAAATCATCGAAAGTCATTTGTAATAAATATTAAATGAGGGATCATCCAAGTTTTCTAGGCAGATTAAGAGATGTTTTAGATAGAAGGAAAACTAAAAGGGAAAATGTGGGATGGATTAAGCAAAAATGGTAACAGTATAAGAGATTTAGCTTCGGTTGGATGGGTCATAGGATGGTGGAAAAGATTGACTGCAATGGTAAGTGCAGATTGTCAACTTGAGATGGAATTATTCGGGGCATGAAAATGTGCTGGAGTGGTTGAATTTTAGAAATTATAGGTTAAATTTATTGGAATGTTTTAGTAGTAAGATGAAGTCTGGTATAAAAAAGATAATTTTGGTAGTTGTGTGTGAGGGAAGAGAGAAGGAATAGAGTAGGGCACTGAACCTGGTTTTGGTTTTGAAACTCCAATTATTCTTAGGGCTCAGGTAGTTGTCCTTCCTTATATAGGAGTACAAACATGGGCTTAGATCTTAGGTCCCACTGCTTGCTAAGATGTTCCCAGCTGCACTCCAGTTCTGAGCTTTCTCTTGGGTGGAGGTTTTCTATTCTCAAGCACCATCACTGTTCCTCTCTGGCCTGGAATAGCTGGGAAAGTGATGCCCACAAGGGCAGAGAAGAGAAAAGGGAGAAGAAACAAAAATAGCCATCTGATGCAGAATAACTTGCTATGTTGCAGAATAACTGAAATTAATAGATCCTCTTTTGTTTTATTTTACAACTGGTAAATTGGTATTGAAGGCAGATCCAAAGAGGACATCCATACAATATTTTGAATAAGATAAAATGATTAATAAAGTGAAAAAAGTAGAGCCCTAGTGATTGTTACATATATAATATGTATGTACATGTTTGGATATTGTTATGTAGTACTTTTGAACAAAATGGAAAGAATTTGTTGGGTCAAAACAAACTACTTTTTCTGCCTTTGAATCTGACCACTGTTTAAGTCAGAGTTTTGAGGCCTTGGACACTAAAGCAAAATACATTGTGAAGGATCAGTGGATGGGAAATATATTGTAATGGCTTGTAGGTGTGTTGTAAAGGTGGTGATTTAGGTTGCACCATATGAAACTGCTCTTTCAGGAGATCAGAAGCAGTTGAATAGCTCAGCAGCATCCTGTGGTTCAGCCTGTACTGCGGTAAGATAGAGCAAAGACAAGTTAGACATGTTAAGGAACACTCAAACCTTGTTTCCAAACAGAAGTCCACAAATCGATGTTCTATGTTGCTACAAGAAAATACAGCAAGTAAAGGGGGCAGGAAAATAATACTCTGGATTAATTTCTGAAAGAGTACCAAGTGATTAAATGTTATCCAGAGCCTCCTTAAAGTTGCTTATGTTCTCAGAGAAAACCCTTCTAAGTTCCACGTCTAAAGGTGTTATATGTTGCAGTAAAAATAAAGCAACAATTATATTTTAAAAAGCTTTATATGGTGGACTGATATTTATCATCTTAAGTCCTTTCTAATTGTTTACTGTAGTCTTAGTCATTCTTTGTGTATTCTTTAGAAACCTTTATACTTCTACAGCAGTGCACTTGTGATGAAGTATGCTGTTAAACCACATCTCTGAAAATGTGAACACCAGTCCCTTCTTAAAATTTGTAACTGTTTAGGGGAAAATGAGGCTCAACTGATGACATTTTATTTTTTTATCCTCACTTGAGGATATGTTTATTGATTGAGAAAGAGACATTGATTGGTTGTCTTCTATACACACCCCAAACGGGGACTTGAACCTGCAACCTTTTGGTGTTCGGGACCACACTGCAACCATGCTCCATCAACGTCAACTGATGACATTTTGACTTAGGGCAGTTTTTTAAGGAATGCAGCTTGCCATAAATTTAAGACCCACCTATACCAGAATTCTAAAGTTTGATCCTTTGACCACCTGCATCAAAATCACTTAGAGAACGGTGAATGGGGCCCAGGAGTCTGCATTTTACGAATGCCCCAGGTGATTCTTAGGCATAATAAAGTTTGAAAGCCACTGGCCTGTATTAGTTGTAGGACAGTTAGAACTTGACAACAAAGTTGACAACAGGTATGTAGCATGTTCACAATATCTTGAAAGACAAATTATATGTAGTAACTATTTGAGAGAAGATAGAAAACATGAAATGTACATATTGAGATTTGGAACGGGAGACTCTCCTAAAGAGGGAGCTGCCAATAAAATTGGTGTATTTGTAGGTAAGATTTTGCAGGAATGATGATGCATGTTTATATCATAAAGGATGCTATCAGACATTCTTTTGAAATTACTTCTAGAAATAGGAGATGGAAAAGAGTTTAAGAAATGTATAGCTCTGTCAGCTAGGGACAGGTTTCTGACAGAGCTCAGAATCTGACCCGTCAGCACTTTCCACTATCCAAAGGCTCTTTCTTGGTTCCGATTTCCATTTGTACATAAAAATTGCCATATTTGCAATTGATTCTATCTTGGAATCACATAGTCCAGAAATTCCTTCTCTTGGGATTCAATGTATTTATCACCATAATTTACTGCGAATTAGTCATAAAATATGTAAGAAATATGATGTAAATAACTTTTTAGGCCAGAAATATTTCTCTTAAAAGATTTAAAGCAATATAGAAAAAACTAGAATCTTGCTATTTTAAATCCCATAAGAGAGTGCTGAATTGGAGATAGGAAAAAAACAAAGTATCTGTGCAGAGACATTAAAGGGCTGGTTTGTAAAGACTCACCACAAAGTAAAATACAATTTCCTTCTTGCTTGTCTCATTATCTAAAAGTTTTCAGTCAGAAATTCCAAAAAACGCCACCTTCTGCACGTTTGGTTCTGTTTTGATAAATGTGTGATTTAGAAATAATGTTTTTCAGTAAGAACATCTAATACCTGGTCTCTGCAGGCAGTATTTAATGTGGACTGGACAATGGTGTCCAGCTCCAGAGGGAATAAAATCATTTGAATTGTTTTCATCTTGAATACTCTGTGTGGCGATCATTTTATTATGACTGTTATTAGCACTAGAAGATACTTGTTAAAAGTCCCTCTCTTTCCCCCAAAATTACTTAATTTCTCAGAGTTTCAGTTTCCACATCCATAAACTTCGTCACTTGCTAAAAAGGGATTACGTTGCAATATATAACCTCACATGTATTATAGACGTCTGTTTGAAATAAGCCATCTTCCCTTATTCATTAAAACTAATTAAGAGAAAAATATATTTATTGTAGGATGTTTTTACTAAGGGTTGTGGCTTTTTATTTTTCTCAATTTTATCTCTTGAAAGTTCACCCTCAGCAAATTACTTTGCTCATCACCATTTTGTACTTTCGTGAGCTAGAGTTCCATATTCAATAAATAATTCCTAGGGAATCAAATTAGTTTTTTTCTCTTTTGAGATGACTTGGAAATTGAATGTATTTCACATGTAGTACTGTAAGTAATGATTGACTGGATTGAGTATGCTCCCTTTAATTAGTGCTCGCCCGTGGGCATTAATAATTGGATTGCCCTAATAACTCATATCTAGCAACCGTGTGCAGAGTAAGTACAGAGTGGCACACACTAAATTGTGCCTATATAACAGAACCTAATACAGTGTTACTTTTTGAAGAGCTAGACTGGTTTGGACCTTCTTAATCCCCTGCCTCATTTGCATTTTCCCATTTTCCTTGATTCTCCTGTAGTTAGTTAGTCGTCCATAGTTTTAGTTTACTTTTTTCTAGAGAAGTTGTTCTGGCAGTTATTCGTGAACTTCGTGGCACCCATTTTTCTTGTTCCTTTGTGTAATATATAATTTTATTTTGCCTAAACTGTATTTGGTTCGGGGGAGAATTCTTAATTGTAGATTTAACTGTCATCTGTTGCATTTTTGTTTATGATGTTGGACGTTATGAACAGTTGTATTGTGCATCTTCTGATCGAAGACTAACTGCAAAATGCAGAAACCATATGTCCTTATTACTGAGTTATTCTCTAGATTGTGATTCCGAATACTATTATTATTTTTTTAAATCCTCATGTTTTTAGAACTGAGATTCATCTTGCCATGCAGTCTCTATGAGAAATTAGCAATACATGTCTTGGCTTAAAGGGCTTGGTTCATAAAAAAGCATCTTGTCTCCTGCATCCTACTCTCTCCACTGTTTTCTGACCTTTAAAGAGGAATATTGCATCTCCCTGGGTATAGACCTTGTACCACACCACACCACACCACTTTTTCTGAGATGATGCTTACTTCCCATGTTCTATTTGTTTATAATATGGTCACCATCAAATACACCTTCCCCACACACACTTAATTTAGAAATATAAGTGTCATCATAATAGGCACAAACTAACCTGAATGTTTATGTTTACCATTAAGGCTCTAACCTATAACACCAAAACCTATCTGTTCATTTTGTGAATGTGTGTGTGTGTTTTAATTAAATTTTTAATTTAATGGTTTTTGTATTAAACCTTCCAATTTAACCCTAGTAAAATGTCAGCGGTCAAATGCCAGTGTAGTTTCTCTTGGCTCAGA